GTTGAATGAAATTAACATAATTATTAATTTATTGTAAAAACATGACAGATAATTTGTGAAACAGATCCAATTCAGCTGCTGTTTATCTGTTAGTTTCTATGGAGGCTGTGAGCTGTTGTCCTGTTTGGTCTGTTTCTGCTCCTCCATGCTGTCACAGATGCTACCAGTGGACGGTATGGGTGGGTCTCAGTCTAGTGTTCTATATTTAAGTCTATGGTAGTGACCAAAAGTACAAGATTGTGGATACAAGACGTCAAAATGAGTTTTCTCTGCAGGGTAGCTGGACTCAGATATAATGAGAGACTCAGAATAGAGCCGCTACTCCTCCACATCGAGAGGAGCCAGTTGAGGTGGTTTGGGCATCTGGTTAGGATGCCTCCTGGACGCCTCCCTATAGGGAGGTGCTTCAGGCCAACTGGGAGGAGACCCAGAGGAAGACCCAGGATACCCTGAAAGGAACTATGTCTCATGGCTGGCCTGGGAACGCCTTGGAATCTTCCTAGAAATGCTGGAAGAAGTGGAAAAAGAGGTCTGGGCTTCCCTGCTCAAGCTGCTGCTTCTGCACGCCGACACTGGATCAGGCGATAGCTAATAGGTGGATGGGTGTTAGCAAAATCTCATGAACTACTGTATGAAATTCAATATAATTTGCAAAAACTAATCTGGATGTAAACTGGATGTACAGCTACATCTGATTAACTTTAGGAATTTTTCCAATTTGAAGTGGCCGCCACAGCCAACTGAACTTAAGAAATAAAACAATTGTTATAAATTGGTTAGTTAGACAGATACTGAGCTAAAATGTGGTGTGGTGGGAGCTGAGGTCATAATAAAAAAAAAACCTACTGTGTCTCATACAGCAATATCACATCAGATCGTTTCTCAGCATAACATGATTTTATATAAAGTGAGTACATGCATTCTTTTAAGAAATGCTTAATTTTTTATTTAAAAAAGTGATTTCATTTTAAATTTGTTTTTAAACAAAAAAATGTCTGCAAATGCTGCTCAAGCTGCAACTAATTCTCTGTCAGGGACTATTTTCAGCAGCGGATGCACTCGTTTTTGAGTTTATTTACAGCAACAGCAGGAGAAATGCATAAATAAACGTGTTCAGAACATCAATCCTTTTAATCTTCAGGTTAAATAAACAGAAAGTTCAAGTTTGAGTTTAAACACCTGATGTTAACTGTGCATTTATTCACACTCTATTTGATTAAACTGAGTAACTCATTTATTAAAAGAAAAGATAAGTGTATTAAAATATTTACTTACGATCTGGTTAGGAGTTCATGGGACAAACAAGCCGGAGCGAACAGTGCTCTGCCAATCAGAGCAAAGCACAAGTTTATTAAACAATAATTTCATTTGGTGTGTGTGTGTGTGTGTGTGTGTGTGTGTGTGT